ATACTTCCATCGTAGCCAAGCAAGTCGAGTACGATTTGGGCTTTGGAGGAAGGTTGGAGTCCGGCACTACCACGCCGCTTTTCCCCAGAAGCGGCCTGGTGTCCGTGCGGATTTCCTCCACGTTAATTAAAAAAAAAAGCCCACCTAGCATTTGCATTTGATGTTATTTTTGGTTTTTTGCTGGGGGTTACAAATTCTCTCGTGAGGAAGTTTCTCGAGTATCTAACTACCACGGTTACTTGTCCGGCTCTATAATAATCGTATTTGCACTAGTCAATGTCTTCTCTCTTGCATAACGACAACGTGTAATCCAAACGAAGATTCGTTTCACGCCCCTAACCCTAATTCTAATGTAAACCCGACATATATATATATATATATATATATATATATATATATATATATATATATATATATATATATATATATATATATATATATATATATATATATATATATATATATATATATATATATATATATATATATATATATATATATATATATATATATATATATATATATATATATATATATATATATATATATATATATATATATATATATATATATATATATATATATATATATATATATATATATATATATATATATATATATATATATATATATATATATATATATATATATATATATATATATATATATATATATATATATATATATATATATATATATATATATATATATATATATATATATATATATATATATATATATATCTAATGTAAACCCGACATATATATATATATATATATATATATATATAAAATATTTTTAATGAAATCAATTTTATGCAGTGAAAAAGGTGGAGCCTAAGGAAACGGAGATGGACAAAGATATTTTGGATGACTGCGGTGATTTCATAAAGGGGAATAAATTACTGGGGAAGAAATTCAAAAAACAGAATGAAGGTAAAAATTACATTAACTTTTCTACAAATAAAGAACGCGAAAGTTCCGAAGACTGATTTTTATCGTTTTATTGCTTGTTACAACCGCAAATTCATGATTAAAGCAACTGTTATTAACGAATGTTACTGAATACGACTATTTAGAATTTTTATTTGATGTAATTTCTGATCTTAATTTAAATGAGATTACAATCTTAAAAACTTTGCCGATTCTACAATTATTTATAAAGATCTCATTGTCAGTAGCTCATATAAAAGTGTGACTATATAATTGAAATAAATCGTATTTCAATTAATACTTCTCAATGACGTGTATCGTAAATCGAATCGCATTAAATTTATTTAATTTTATTGTAAATATTTATAAATACTCAATGTTTACATATTATTATATATGCTACAAATATTTTTCCTCGTTCATTGAAAAAGATAAAAGTGCATGAATAGTTCAAAGTTCAAGAATTTTTGTTTCCATGCTTGCTTTAAAATGAGAAATAAAAATCCATCGTGGTTACATCTAATTTTACATTATCATGTATATTACTAAATACGACGCAATATTATGCTAATTAAATTGATAGAGGAGGGAAATAATTATTATAGCTGAACAAAAAATCATGAAATTTTAAAACGAATAAAAAAAAGTTTCTTAAATAAAAATATGTTAAATCAAAGAAAGGTATATCGAATTGTTTCCAAATTCAGAGTTTTAGAGTTTCTACAATTTTAACGATTTACATTTGATAGTATTTATAGTCATAACCTATTAGATCTTTAGTTATTAAAGTATATTGTATTCCGAATTTATACCTTAAATTACAAAGTGTAAAATATACATTTTGTAACATTTAAAATAGGTGTGCTGCGCATTCGGAATTATATTAGATATTTGGAAGGTAAAGCTACAGAACCGAAAATGGCGGACAGGCCGGAAGAAGAACCAGAAATTGATCCAGTATTAAAGAAAGACATTGCAGATTTGTTGAAGAAATCTCATGATTTATCTAATGATATCTATCAAACGGAACAGGAAATAAAAAATCTTGGAGTATGTATAACATATGCGATAGATAGGTATATTAAACAAGTTTTATATTTTAAATATTTTAAGTCGTATATTTCGAAAGACTAACATATAACATAGTTAACAAGGGAATTGATTTATTGATAACGTATCAAGTGATTGTTTCTGTTTTTTTGAATAATTTCCTACTAAAGCGGTTTCCGAAATTTCTTTCATTTTAAACTATTTTGACAACTGAAAAGGTAAGAACCTAAATTAAATTTATGTTATTAACTGTGACTATTGATAAATGATAAACGACTTTACGTTTCTTCTATTATAATTAGGTATAATTAGGTATATTCGTTTTATTGAAGTAGTCTGCATAATAATATCTATTAAAATAAAAATCAACACATTGTTTTGGTTTTTTTTCGTAATATTTAAAAATGTATAAAAGCATAAATATTTATGGTATATTTAAATATTTAAATAAAATATGATTCTTAATAATAAAGATACTTAATAACAGTATTTATTAACAATTAGATGTAGCTTTACGAAAAAACTCATATTTATATGTATATGTATTAATACGATCATTCATTATTTTAATGTAATGCACAGGCTAAACCTGGCGAGGGCATTTTCGATCCTGACAGCTGGCTGAACGTAAGTCCGAAGACGAGATCCATTAGATATACTAGCAGAATTTACATAGTATTGGAATTTTATTTTTGTATATTTCTAATGGCCAAATGATTCTATGTTAATCGGGACTTGGCACTAGCTACAATTTTTATGCAAAAAAGATTTCCTTAATGAAAGGTGAGAGAAACATATTTATAGATAGATAATTCAAATCTTTGATAAAAAAGCACCCATTTAAAAATGTAAGAATGAAAAAATGTATTGTCATAAGATTTCGCGTGAAATGGTTCTAGATTCGAATCTTCAACAAACGTAATAAATTATAACATAAACGTTAATAATTCATGCGTAATTTCTCATAAGAGAAATTTGAATTTTTTATTTCTCATTTTACCTGCAAATTTATTGGTATTGATTATATTTTTCAAATCATCAGTTATTGAGAATCGAACATTATCAAGAATTTCTATAATGAAAAATAATTTAAAAAGCGCTTTATTCATATATGGAAATGTTTAACATATAGATAGTACAAATATTTTTTGATATATACGAATATTGGTGCGTTATTGAATTATGTAATATCGATATAATATTGTATTACCCCGACGTTGGTTACCGCATGTGAATCACAATGATGTGGATTAGTGATGTTACTTACTAACTGAATAAACCTGATAGATCTAATAAATCATTCCGTACTTCAGAAATTAATAAATGTCCTACTTTCTCCGTTCTATTAAATTGAATGTTCTAAATGTATTCAAATTGAAGTAAAAATTTAAATAATATAACTTTAAGCAAATTACATTCATAATTTTGTTCATCTATCAAAAAATGGGATATTTCTAACTTAATTGTCAGCTTTATCAATTGAATCTATTCTCTGTGATGACAATCTTTCAGTTATGCCCATAAAAATACGACATTACGTAAATATTTTCCAATCTTTTCCTTTGTTCTTTTTCTTTGCAGTCTTTGACATTGACACAGTTAGCTGAGCTTCACGATAAGATTTGTCAGTTGACATTGGACATGGTGCACCAGGACAGTAGAGCGGTGCCGTGCGATGGTTATGAACCAGCGACTCCGTCAAAGGCGGATTATAATATTTTGAACCAGCGTATAGCTGCTTTGCAGAAACAGATAGCGGAAAAGCGAATGGAGGCAGACTGGAAGCTTCAGGAGCTGAGGAGGGCTCTTCAAAACGAGCAGGCTAACTTAATTCGAATCTCCGATCAGATGAACTTTGAGAGAAAACGCAATTTGAACCTTCAGCATAGCATAGATGATTCACCGTAATCCGGTTTTCCTTTAACCTCGTTCAACGTTCGACGATCGTTTTCTCCAAGACATTCCACGGATGAGAAGAATTATATTTCCTCGGTTCTTGAAGCTAATGAATTTAACGAATTTTTAGTGAACTATAAGATCAACAAACCGTACAAGAAAACATAGGTCCTGAAATTGTGTTATCGATGATACATCTATTTCTTATTTAATGATCGCCGATGTAAGTATATGTAAATAAAAAGTATGTCGTTACAAAATTAATATTCGAACTTTCTTGTGTGATTTGTTGTTTTCACGTTAGTTCCGCATCTCTAAATGTTCTGTTACGACCGTTCGGGGAGAGACGCGGTCGCGAGGAAAACGCGTCAGCGAGAGGCGTAAATTCTCGCTACGATTCGGTGAATCGACGCCGCGAAGTAGTCGTTCCCCTGTTTCGGTTAAGATAACTGAGGTGGTTAAATGAATATGACACAGTAGTAAGTTATATTTCACCGTTTATTCCAACTTATAACAAAGGCAGTTACGCTGGTGCGTATGTACGAGATGAATGAGTGACTGATCTACGGGTGTGTATACCCGGTGGAAGGATGTTGACCGTTCGAAGGATGTAAAATCAGTACTGTACTGGGAGATGATGCTGTCTCGGAGGAAAGCTAAGGATGGGTGTGTCTAGCGCACGGGACCATCGGATTTGTTGGTGATGAATTTAGTTAGGAGAGTGAGGGAATAGGCTTCGTCGTTAATTGGTTAAACGAAGGGTCTCAACCGCCCTCGAGAGAAAGTGGTTAGTGAGAGGAAAGTTGCATCATACGTGAGAAAAACTAACTTTCCCTTGTCCAGCCGTGGTAGACAATAGTCTTTAGAAATTCTTCGGAAATAGACGTTTGTTTGGTTTGAAGGACCTTTTCTAGGAAATCTATGAGATTTATGGGAGGTACTTGAGACTATTGAGGGTACACAGTGAGTATCCGAAGACATCTGGTTGCCATATTGCCCGCGGTGTGTGGCCTGGGCTAGATAGAGTGTTACGCGACGTAACATGTTCAATACGTTAAAAATGAAAATTGCCCGACGAAATAGAAAGAGGGCCTTGATATTCATAAGAATGCGAACAATGTATTGTAATTCACTCATAATTCTGGCAGTTGAATGCAATTTTAAATTAAAAAAAAGTTGCTTTGTAATTACATTTCAGGTAAGCATAATCCAAAATATTAATAATTAAAAAAACAAAATTGAGTTACATGTGAGAACTGAACAGAGGCTGACCTTGCTTATGTGACAACGACCATACCCAAATCCAAAACACTAGATTTTCCCATTATTTGCTTTGTTGTTAACTGCGAATTGGAAGTTACACGCAAAATTGCTCGCCTATCACGATCGGATAACGATAACGGCCGACCAGTAGTTTTCTTTTTGTCATAATCTTCAACATTTTTTAAGAAATTCTGTATTACTTTACGACTTCTTCTTATTATTTTCGATATTTTTGCTACTGACAACTGTTGCTGCTTTAGTTCAAGAATTTGCTTTTTTTCAGACTTGTTTAATATTTTTCCGCGTTCCATACTTACAAATTTATATAATATTGCACTGTTATCTTTACTCGTTGATAGATCATAAACTACTGAGCAATTTCTAAACATACTAACAGAGTGTGCTATTATTTCGTTCTTAGAATAAAACAATTTTTCTTTGTTACACACTAAACCTCATAATATTTTTAATTATTTTCAACGAACCGCATATTCTGAGCTCATAATGTTTTAATATTATACGCTACAGACGAAAAACTTTACACGCGTCATTGAGAAATTAAAGTGTTACGTCGCGTAACACTCTACCTAGTCTAGGCCACACACTGCGGACAAGATGGCAACCAGATGTCTTCGGATACTCACCGCGTACCCTCAATAGTCTCAAGTACCTTCCATAAATCTCAGGAATTTCCTAGTCGAGGTCTTTCAAACTGAACAAACGTCTGTTTCCGAGGCATTTCTAAAGACCTTTGTCTACTACGGCTTGACAAGCGAAAGTTAGTTTTTCTCATGTATGATGCAACTTTCCTCCCACTAACCACTTTCTCTCGAGGGCGGTTAAGACCCTTCGTTGAACCAGTTAACAACGAAGACTATTTCCCTCACTCTCTTAGCCAAAATCGTCACCAACAAATCCGATGGTTCCGTGCGCTAGACACACCCATCCTTAGCTTTCCTCCGCCACAGCATCATCTGTGCATCACTGATTTTACATCCTTAGAACGGTCAACATCGTTCGACCGGGTTTGCACACGAAGATCAGTCAATCTCAATCAAGCATCTCGTCAAGCGGTCAACAATTCGAATACAGTGAGTCGACAAATCCATCAGTATACGCGATAATCCGTCTAGAGACTCAGGTCGCACTCATTCGTAGTCATCTCATAGCAAATATTCATTTTGTGTTACACCGAAGTTGTTGGTTTGTGAAAATATATAATAACCTGTTAGCAGCAGCGTTATCTTTCATTTAACCACCCTTATTGTCCCAAAAGAAATAAGGGATCGAACGATTCGCGGCGTCGATTAGCAAATCGTAATGGGAATTTACGACTCCCGTTGGCGCTCTTCTTCGAGATCGTGTCTCCCCGCGAACGTGCGAAAACATAAAGGATAGCACACCTGGGCTATCTCTTTGACAAGGAGTGTATGTTATAATATGTAAAATGATTATAATTAAAATGTAAAACATAAAAGAGATTATAACTAAAGTGGCATGGTGAAAATAAATATTGCAAGTATGTATAGATACACATAAATATTGGGTCATCTGCTGATTTCATAAAGGGACAATTGAAAGGTTAGTAAAAATCAATTATGAATCCTCATAACTAATTTTTTGGGTACCGAATAGTGAAATAGCAACGGAGAGCCCGAATGCTAGGTTAAATTGATCCACAGACAGATAGTTTTGCAATAACATTGTTTTGTTTTCGTCGTTTTATTTTCTGTAAGATGCGAGTCGGCTGATACGGTGAGCGATCTATAGATCAAATTATGGTGACCTGGCTACGAGGGTTAATTTACTGACTCATCCGTAAAATCTCAACTCATCTGCAAAATGTCAGTTCGCTGTGGAGTGCCGAAGCGTGCAGACGTGTCTCTAGT